CAGTCAGCTACAGTCCTGTTGCTAGCCTCTGAATGAAGCCCCAGCTCACATGAGATCTTATTTTCCAAAGTAGTCCTGGAAAACAATTACGAAACAGGCACTTATGGCACCTCTGAGCAAATTAGTCATCATTTGTAAAAACACAAGATGTGCCCAGCACCCTTGAGAAATCTTATTTGTGTCATAAAAAATGCAAGTTGCATCAAGATGACATGATGCCCATGTAAAGATTTTAGTGAACAATCACCGATTTGCATAAATGTGCCAGGATCATTAAGTTGTGAGGGTGACAGGACATAAAAATTCCCTACTTTATGCTATGGAGTACAGAATTAGATCCATCAGTTATGAATATGTGATGAACTGAGGACGACAGGGTTAAGACGATGAGTTTACCGTTAGTTTATCTTTTGAACTCATTAACTTATTTTTATATTATACATTTTAGTGTCATTAAATCTTTGTCTCACAATGAGTTTATTTCTTTTTGTTGCATGAATTTTGGATTTATGATTAATATTTCATCTATTTTTAAGCCATCAATATCAGGCGACAGGGTTGACTCTGGTCACCAATGTTTAGGTTTGGTTTGGTTTATTTAACCTTGGAATACTACAGTAGTTGCTGAGGACATTTATACTACACTGAGGAACTGTGTAGTAATAGGATAAAAAAATACTTTAATTAGGTTTGTATTATATATACTCACTCTTTCATTAATAATGACACTTAAATACAATATTGACTATCTCCTGAAAATCAGAAAAAACAAATGATCTGGGGAATCTAGTACCCCAGTATAGTATTCCAGGGTTAATTATGGCAAAGCACACTAGGGCTATCTGCCTACGGATAGGGATGCTTATGCGGAGGACTTTCTAAGGAAAACTGGCTCGTATACACGTTGCACATGGGGAAAACAACGAAAATGCCCATGCAGCCAGCCCATTCGTGGGATTCATTCCTCAGACCGAGCTACCAGTGTTCAGCTACTTTACTGCTTGGTCACTGGTGGGCTACCAATGTGTTAGGAAATTCCTCAAATTCCCAGTAGCCCCATACGACAGAGTGATACAGTCAATCTGGGTTGATACACTAATTTCAAAATAAGACGAAACAATGTTTTCTTGTAAATAATTTAGGAAACTGTCACAAAATTGAAAAGTCTAATTCAAGCAAATAAGTACTGCATACTGAGTGATAATTTGAGAATGTTGGCTCAAAAAGGTAAAGTGAAAATTCATACGCAAAGTTTTTCTACAAATACTTTTGCTTCTAATTCAGATACCTCTATGAAATTTTTAGCTAAAATTAAAATCTTTTTCCATTAAAAATATGACATATCAGAATTTGTAAATTGTAAATTCACTGACTGAAGAGGAAAACTTTGATTTTCTTGAAACTACTTGTGCTCCAAAAGAAAGTACATGTTTCCACGTTCTTCACAAAGAATATGTAAACAGAAAATTTAAACATACTTTATTATTTGAGCACCCTCATCTATCTTATTTTAAAATTATGATGGAGTGTATAGTATAGTATACATTTAATAATATTTGCAGAATATGTAGGCCCTTTAAACTTAAGGATAATTAGTAAATAGGCATTTTTGGAACTGGAGAAAATTTAATGAAAAAATCTGCGATTCCCAAATACCTGTTGCTACTTCTGATCAATCTAAAGAAAATCGAAAAAGGCTTATCCATATGACAAAAACTTTGATGAGACTAATGCATTATCTTTAGCAGGTGTTCATGATCCTGAGCAAATGAACATAAATTATTGTAATCTCATCTCATCAGAATGAAGAAAACTTTTGACAACTCTTTAGATTTTGAAGATACAGAAGATGATGCATTAGAAATTATTTAGAATCCTGCAGCAGCAATGCTATTTACATTTCAACAAAAATTAAAATAAAAACATAAACGCTTTGAAAAACAAAATTACTTTGGAAACGATCCTTAAAATCCAAATGTAGTACTCATTTCTTCATAAAAACAAGTACCTATTTGGGCAAGATATGCATTACAGCTTTAAAAAAAAAAACTAATAGAAAATATTTTACAATTTATATTTGTAGTGTCAACATGTGGAGACTAATGTGGATGATTTGACTAATAGCATTATACATAATTTGGTTTCAATAGACTTAGATTTATATTTGAAATACATGAGAAGTCACTGCTATGATGGTGCTGCAACCATATCTGGGATATTCACAAGTGTACACGAGAAAGATCACCTTCAAAACTTCGGGTGCATTGTACTTCTCATTTCTTAAACTGGGCAATTTCTGGTGCATATCACATTAAAGATATTCGCAATTGTTTGGGAGTGATATAAACACGTTATTCTTTTATTGAGAATTAAAAAAAAAAAAAAGTCTTTTGTAAGAAAATATATCCAATTTGTGCCATCTTCAAAAAGAATATCCCTGAACTTTATTCCACTTCTTAGATAAATGCACATGAATGTGTTATGGTGGAATTACTAAAAATCTTTGTTTCGTGCACTAAAAACAATACATAATAAGGAATAATCTTTCAGGGCTTATACACTGTATATATGAATTCCTTAAAATGTTCTGCTTTTGTGGTCGCAATTATTTTCAAATCCAAAAATATATTCATATACATTGCCATTAAATAGAACTTATATTTAAAATCAATATATCTCTCTACAGCTATTCAATTATGTAAATATGTTTTCAGAGAACTACAAGAAATTCATGACAATGCAGAAAAAGTGTTCAGGGCAATTTATTCAAAGTTGGTGACTGTTCTGAAAGAGATCAATGAAAAAAAGTGAAATTTTTCTTGCATGATTGGCATGTAATCAAATATGTCATTTGAACAGTATAACTGAACTACTCCAAACTTATTTTCGATTATCACTCTTTAATTAATTAATTCTTGGATAGTGAGATCTTGCATGTTTTATTAATCACAAAAAATATTTAATTCTTTTAATATTTTAATTCCCACCAATAATAAATTCCATCTCTAATCAGAATAAAGAAAATTAAACACTTTTAAATATATTTTCTTCTGATATGTGGGACACTGACATTTTAAGTGCGGAATATCAACTTTGGCAAACAGCCATCACCTGAATACTCAAACATTGGTCTTTCTTGCAGTTTCTTTAATTTTCTTGACTTTCTCCTTAATTCCTAATGTCATAGATCAACCAGAACATTCATCAACTTTCTCCCAACCTTCTAAAAATCACTTGTACTACTGGAAAACTCGAATGAGTGAGATGCAATTATCGGCAAACACTTTCTTCAATAATTGAAATTATTCAATTGGAAGAGGAATTTGGATCATGAGAAATTTGATATTATTATAATGCACAATTTTTAAGCTTATCATGATATTACAACAAAACAACATCCAATTCAAGCAAGGATTAGCAAGCAACTAAACTGGATAGAGCCACCTGTACTGGAAGCACCAAGATCAATTACATTACACCTTCATTCTACCTCATCAAACCTAATGGCCTGAGAATGCACAGTCACATTATTTAATTGTCGCTCCTCACTTACATATAGAGACACTCATACATGTAAAAAAGAAATAAAATATATAGAATTAATATGACTGAAATGTAGTACATTTTCTAAGAAGGCAAAAATTAGAAACAAGTGAATCAATAACTTGGAAAATAAAGCTGAAGTAAACTAATATATAAATAACACAAAATTCACATAACATTAAATAACAGTTGATAACATTTTAGTCTTTGTGAAGGAGAAGCTGAAAGAATTATCAATACATTTCTGAATTATAGCCGGATAAATATAAAAAATAATAACAGAATTCTTCAAATTTAAAATAATGAAGTGGGAATCTATTAATACAAAATTTTTAAGTATTTAAAAACTTCAATTTTTTAAAAAAATTACTTCGTTCAAATTACTGTTCTTTAAAAAAAATTACTGCGTTCAAATTACCGTCGATCCGAACTAGAGATATACATGTCGTGTATTCAATGATGCCCAAACCATCATACCAGGTGCAGCAGAGCCCTTATGCCGTTATCAAATGCAAGCAGGTGATGTGCAGTCTCCTTGGACACTCCAGACACATCTACGGCCATCAGAATACTGCACGTAGAACTAGGACTCGTTTGAAAAGGTGACCATTGTGCCACTCCTGTACACAGCTTTGTCGTCTGGTGCATCAGAGTCACTGCCTCTCTCTCTCTATGCTGCATTGTCAAGGGAAGCCGATGTAATGGTCACCCTGCTGATAAGTCCATGCTGCTGCACACATCGGTGCACCTTACAAGCTGATACTGGATGTGCTGCAAACAAATCCATTTCCTGACAAATGGTCTAAATGGTCTATGATGTGGTCGTACGGTTTTGCAGGGCTGACCTTACAATGTCTATCCTCTCAGGTCAAATCACGAGAGGGTGTTGAGGACCTGCATGCTCTTCAGTATGGCCCTCAGCAATCCATTGACGCCATATTTGCATGACAGTGGTTGGATGACAACCAGTGTGACAGGGAATATCACAGAATGATAATCCACACTCTCAATAAGGAGCGATCCTGCCTCTACTGAATTCCAAAACTTGCTGATAAACATTTCTTATTATTATTCGAGGCACAATACAATATTTTCTGAGCAAACTCCGACCTCACAAAGCGGTTTCCAAATGATAAATCCACTACACAACTTTTCTTTTATGCAGTGCTTCAAATGTCATTTCTCCCTCCTGTGTCATCTAAATGCGCTGAAATTCTAATCATTTGCATATCCCAACCTCTTCTTCCTTTCATGTTATTTTGCTGTCCGTCAGATCATTCCTTAATGGTGTTGCAATTTTAACGGGCGGCAGTGTAATTTTGCCATCAAATAAATAGTCATCAATATCAGAGATGTCAATACCTTCTGAAAAATACTTTCTTAGAGCCCATTAACAAACATTTAAGTAAATCAGCAACAAATATTATTCAAATACAAATTAAATAAAACAATGTAGAAACCAGATTAATCAAATTTTATTTTTATAAAAGCAATTTAATCTTTCTCAAACATATGACAAAAACACTAATTAATACTATCCGATATTATGATTCCCTTACAGACCGGAGTTGTTAAACTATGAAATAATGTAAAGGGAAAAAAAAATATTCATAAAAACAAGCATGCGCTTTATACAACATCATGTGTTTTAGAAAGGTATTAAAAACATTTAATAGTTACAAGCATCACTTTAAAGTAACAAGCATATAAAACATGAGGGAACACAAAACATTTATGAGTTAATTAAAAAATTGAAATATACATACATACTATATACATACATCCAATAATTTATACGAAATTTCCAATTCTGATATGGATAAAATTAAATAAATATATTGTTCAAAAGACTAATTTAGTATTATAGAAATTCATGAAATTAAGAAAATTTACAATAGATAATAAAATATTAGCTTTACATAAAATTAATAGTCCTACATGTTACAAAATTTTCTAACTATCACTTCCTGCAGGACTTTGCCCTGTGGCATATGTAGGCTGAGGAGTAGAATTAAGACTAGTTTTCTCTGAAACTGCACTTTCAGGTGGTGGTAGTGGTATAGCAGCAGACTTTTCAGAAGAAGTTGGTTGACTTGTGACAGGCACATTTGAAGATGAAGCATTCTGTTAATTAAATATTAACCAATCATTATTATTTTACAATACATATTTTAAAATATAATATATATTTTATTATATTTTAAAATACAAAATATAATAAAATATCATTATCCATTTCAATGCATTGTGAAATTATGCTAGTCTTTTTAACTGCACCCTAAATTTTACATGTCCTGTAATTTTTTTTTATCTAATATTATGAAATAAGCATAAAAGTGTCCCACAGTAAAAATACCTATTATGATTACATATTCACAATGATGAATGATTGATTTATAATGCAAAAACATTTTCATGCAATAATTACAAAACTAAATAACTACCCACCCTCACCAATATGCAAAGTAAACCACAATGAGTGTTTATATAGATGCTTAGAGAAGAGTAAATCCTATCAAGGGATATGCATTTTTGCAATATTTTTTCCCATGTTTGGATATTTATTTTTTGTACATTTCTTTACAGATAAAAGGTTCTTTCAGCCAATAACCAATAGGTCAATCCAAATAAAACTAAATCCTTTTTGACATAATCTAATAAATTTAGATATGAAATGTTCTTTTCCTAGGCTCCCTTTCCGATCAGTAATTTTATTTTAACATTCATATTTCAGTGATTATTTTTTAAATTAATGCTGCAAGACATGATAAAACTATATTCTCTGGTGGACACACATGCTTTTTAGCATATCTAGTGTTTTCAGTTTTCAGTTTAAGTTAACTGCTGGTATAGTCATACAAATATATATGCGCATATGCACTGTAACAATAGATGCACACTTGCACTACGGATTTTGGCAGTTTGCGTATGAAATCAGGTACACAGGATTTTACAAAGGCCGGATTACCAATTAAAAGGGCTACATTCAACTTATAGGTTGGCTTTTGCCCACCACTGGTCGAAGGCAATAATATTAAAACCACAGCCCGGAATACTGGAAGTGTTCTAAGTAAATTCGAAAACTCAAGCAACCAAAAAAAAAAAAAAAGTTTCAAAATAAAGTTTTCAGATTTTATATTAAGCACAAAGGTTCCCCCCCCCATTTACACACATACACATATTTTGACAGCATTTGGGTTAACAATACTTAAAAACATTATAACTTTAGGATTTCTGAAAGAGTCTTGCACCTGGAGATAAAAATGCTTTATTCCGTACAGTGTTGCCACTACTCACTTTGAAATCGTCAAGTTTTTTAAATAAAAAATTCATTAAAGTTTTACAAAATATGAAATAAATAATAAAACAAATTCAAAATTCGGGCTTCCAGGTGCTTATATTTCAGGCGGAGGATTATGTTATTCAAATTTGATGGCCCTAGGTACTGCTGTTTTTCCACAATGCAAGAAACCTACATGCATTCTTGCAGATTCTTCATTATTTAATTTCTTTAAATATAATACAAGGCAATAGATAATATTTGGTGGCAATAATTTGAAAAGTGATTCAATGCTTTTAAAGATTCGATGCAAAATGCCGTTTCAATATTAATAGCTTTTCTTTTTCAGAAAAATGAACACGATGTCCACTGCGGTTAACTACTTGTTTTTGAGGAAGTTTGAGTCTTTGCAGACTTCCTGTGGAAACGGAGGAATTATAGGTGAATCTATACGTTCTGACAACATATATGCTGGTTTAAAACGATCAATTGAAACTGTAATCTTTTTGTTATTTACCTCAATAATAAAATTTTTGTCCATTCGTTTAACCACAGCATGACGACCGGTGTAAGGTGGAGGAGGTTTAATGGACTCGATAAGCAGAAATATATAAGAACAGATTTGAAGTGCGGGTGTACATAAATTGATGGTTGAACATACCTAGAGGTTAGAATTGGTCTAACTAAATACATGACTGAACAAAGCTGTGGCACATAAAATTCAGTAGGAGTTCAGCACAAATAGCATAGACCAGTTCAGCTTAAGTAGCATATATATCTTTCTTATTGGCAGATCTGATACCTAACAGCACAATAGGCAGAATTTCAGTCCATTTTGGGTTGTTATGAGCCATTATTGAACTTTTAAGTTACCTGTGAAATCTCTCAGTCAGCTCATTGGACTGAGGATGATAAGCAGTAGTTCTAATGCGATGCGATGTGTACCACAAAATCTTCATTAAATCCTTAAATGAGATTCAAAATTTCAGCTTTGAGCAGTTGTTGTTGATACGGGGCAGCCAAATCTAGCTATTCAGTTATGCACTAACACTTTGCAAGTCGTCTGAGGTGGCATGTTGGCAGTAGGTATAACTTCTGGCCATCTGGTACACCTATCAATAATTGTCCTACAATAATGGTTACCTTCAGACGGTGGAAGAGGACCTATGAAATCAATATGGATATGTGCAAATCTTGCATCAGGCAAGGAAAAATTACCCAATGATGATTTTGAATGTCTGTGAATTTTAGAATGTTGGCACTGCAGACATGATTGAACTGCAGTTTTAATAAATTTCTTCATATTAGACCGAAAATAGCACTTAATAATTAGTTTTGTTGAAGTTGAAATACCGATATGAGAAAAACAGTGAATCTGCAGAAAAATGTTAAAGCGAAAAGATTCAGGAATGAACGAGCGAGGTATACCTATGTCCATATTACAGTAAAGAGTAACATCTTCTAGAGGAAAATAATGTTTCTCTAGCTTAAAAACTGGTGATGATCGAGATAAAGAATTTTGAATTTCAGAGTCCTGAATTTGTGCTTCACATAACATTTTTATAATCAATGTGCTGATTATCAGATACTGAATTTATTTCTACCCTATATAAGGCATCAGCGATGATATTATCACGACCTTTGATGTATTGTCAGTGGAAAATTGGCCTATAAAATCAAGATGACGAAAATGTCGTGGAGAACACTTTTTGGGCTTCTGCTTAAAAGCATAGGTTAAGGGCTTTTGGTCAGAGTAAATTGTAAAGGCCCTGCCTTCAAGCATGCGCTGAAACTTCCTAATAGACAAATAAATAGTCAATAGTTTTCGATCATAAGTTGACCATTTCTTTTGACTTTTGCTGAGTTTAACAAATAGAAACGCAATGGGTTCCCAAACTGAATTATGCAATTACATTAATCAGCTACCAACCGCAATGTCTGATGCATCAGTACAAAGTTGAGCCAGGAATAGGGTGTTTGAGAAGAGTTGCCTCAGCAATTGTACTTGTTTGAATTTTCGAATGCTTTCTCAGCTTTGTGGTCCCATTCGAGAGGGTACTCTTTTGTTTTGTTTGGTTGTGAAGTTTTCCTTTTATTAATGCGGCCTTCCTATAACCTATTCAAGGAAGCTAAAACATGTGAAGCTCTTGGGACAAAACGTCTGTAAAAATTAAACATGCCGAGAAATTTCCTTAACTAAGTTAAGGTGTTTGGTTTAGGAAAGTTTTGAATGGTTTCTACTTTGTCGAGTAAAGGTTTTAAACCCTGCTCATATACATGAAAACGCCAAAACTCTAAAGATGTTAAACCAAAATTACATTTAGATACATTAATTCTTAATTCATAATTACTCAATCTTTCAAAAAGAACTTTCAAGTGTATCAAATGCTCAGTTTTGTCCTTTGATGCAATCAATATATCGTCAACAAAAGCAAATACTCCTGGCAGCTCACGAATTACTTCATCAATAAAGCATTAAAAGATTGCAGCTGCATTGCGTAAGTCAAACTGCATTCTTGTGCTCTCAAAAAGTCCAAAAGGTTTGGCAATAGCCGTTTTATGGATATCAGAGGGATTAATTGGTATTTGATGATAGGTTTTAACCAAAATACCTAATCGAGAAAATAACTTTGCTCCATGTAACTCTGCTGCAAAATCACACATGTTGGGAATAGGATACTTATCCTTCACTGTCTGAGCATTTAGGCTTTGAAAGTCCCCCACAAGTCTCAATTCATTTGTGCCTTTCTTCAACATGTGAAGTAATTACGCCTGTCCTATTCATGTGAAGAGGACAGCTGTAATTACTTTTGATGTGTTGCATATGACATAAATCGATGATTTTTAAACTTTATGCTTAGCAATTTTTAATCTATCTGAAGTTAGTCTCCTGAGCTTACATGAAAGGGGAGAACCAATAGTTTCAATAAAATGCATAGTATTATGTTTAACAGTCTCATTAAGATCAGGAAGCTTCAATAGTGAAGGATAGTTAGACAGTAATTTATCATAAACACAATTTGTAATAATTGTTTTAACAGAATATACATGTGTGTTAATTATACTGCAATTAATTTTTAAACACATTTTTAAATCAACAAGCTTTTTGTTCTTTAAATCAGGTAATAAATAAACGTAATGCAAAAAATCAGATCCAATAAATAATATTTGTTGACACTTTACACATATAAAAAGTAAAATAAAAAATAGCGAAGAAGTCCAAGGTCAATACTTAAAGAGATTTTTGTCCGTAAACTTGAATAGGAGTACCATTGGCTGCAGAAAAAGTCATGATAGGTGTTTGACACGCTTCATGTTTGGTTGCTGAAAGAAGACTGACATCTGAGCCAGTGCCGCACAAAAATATTCTATTTGATTTTCTGTCTCTAATGAAAAGGGGATGAGACTCGGAAGGTAAAGCGCAAGTCGCCATTACACTTTCCCTGGAACACATATGGTGGAACACGTGTTTTAGCTTTATCACTAAATTTGCAATGATACCAGCAATAGGAAAATTTGAAGCAGCTTTAGCTGTAGGGCTTCCCTTCCTGTTATAGCGATTTTTAGAAACACTGTGTGATCGTCGTAGAGACAAAACCTCACCACACAATTTGCAGACCTCCTCCAGTAAGGCATCTAATTTGAATTATTAGATACATGTCAGATACAGGTGAAGCAACTTCGCTTACCTGAGCGAATTTCCAATATTCTATCAGCAATGCTGGCAGCTTTCGACGAATCAAGAGCCTCCATCGACGCTAGAATAAATTGGACATTTGGCGGCATCTGCTGCATGAATAACTCCAGTAACAATGAGTCAGACACACTGTATTTTTCAGCATGCCTTGTCATGACATGAAGCAATTCTGATAGCTTCCTGTTTCCACGTTGCTCGCCGGCGAGTAATTTCCGGATTTCATTGGTACTGCTTTAATCGCATCATTCTTTAATCGCAACTTTGAGATCTTAAGAAGAATCTGTGTGTTCCCGGAGTATGATATCTCGAACCAACGAAGCAAATGAGCAATGCAGAAATTGAATTTCGTCTTTGGGTCCGTAACAGGCTTATGCGCTGCTAAAGTAAAAGTTGATTCGCACATAACAAATCGCAATGCCTGGTCAATAGGATTGTAAATTGGTATCTTGAAGGCTGCAGACACCTCCATGACAGTGCGTGAAGGGAAAAACACGAAAGTTCTGGAACCAAGCTTCTGAATGAACAACCAGTACGAAGCTTCATGCCAGTAGCCGGATCACCAATTTATGGTACGTGGGGGTTATGGCTCAGTGTATATCCTTTAAAGACATGACTCCGCATTGCTAAACATAACTTTATTCACACACATAATATCTTAACAGAACTAGCATAATATACTGCCACACGTACTCGGCCTCATATGCCTTCCAGCAATTTCGGGAAATACTACATTTACTCGCAGCCAGGTAAAAACTACATAAGGCCGGTGAGCTGCGCATTTAGTTTAATGGCCTAAGTAAATATAACTGAATTCACTATTTTATATGTTGTTAACAGAGATATGGGTCTTGTAATTTAAAAGATGAAAAATAGCTTCACTATTCGATTCTGTTAAAAAATGTACATTTCCATGTTTTCCGAAGAGGGCAGGATGTTTTATTTAAACTGCACAGTTTTTCAAAATGAAACAAAATTTCCCTCTTCTATTATATATTTGTCTTTTATAGCCAACACATAAGAAATGTTAAAATTATCCAAATTTTTCAAATAGCTGGGTGAGTTGTAGTACATATTAGTTCAGATATTTTGAGTTTCTACTGTATGTGTTATATTTTATTTATTTTTTACGCTTTTTAATCAAGGCGAGATATGCTTTTTAACCAGGAATAGATTTAAACACTTTTATATTTGTTAGCATAAATTTAGGTATTTTGCATAATGAAACTCGAAAGGCATACGAAATGAACGTGCACCAAGACACATATTGGCGAGAGAAAGTAAAGTTCGTGAGCAATGCAGTATATTCGATTTTCACCCTAGTTACTTGTACCCAGCCAAAGGTCTAATACAGTTAGTACTTTCTCTTTTCAGGTACTATGTCGGAGTATGTTCCTGTTCTTCTTTTCTTTTCTTATTGCATAAAATAGGTAAGCCTGATATTTAGGACTGATGATGATTCTATGTAAGTTATCTCCTTTTCGATACTTCAATTTTTAATGTCTGTGAAGATTATTACATTTTGTTATGCTTAAGTTAAGCAAAATTATCCTATTTTATTAAATAAAGATTTCATAGTTAATTTTTTGACTTATGATTCTTTAATGAAAACTGTGCTTGAGGAAACGTACTCATTACGACTTCAGTGCTAATGCACAACCAACAATATTAAAAAAATAAAATGAGTTTTAATGCCTATCTTTATAGATTCCTATTCCTTACTGAAAAATTAAAAAGGAAAAGAAAACATTGTGTAATCTGTTTACTCTATTTAATCCTTCCTAAATATTAACAAACAAGCAAAACACCATCTATTTAGGTTTAAAAACATAAATAAATATTTTACTGTAAATATAAAAGAGAAACATTTTTTTTTTTCAGCAAATGAAATATTTTTAGAGTCTAGCTTTCAAATAAATTCATACGCTTAATCTTTTTTTTTTTTTTTTTGTTTGGTTGGTTTGTTTGTTTTCATTACATAAAATTCAATTTTATATTTAAAAGACGACTCTACTCTTACATGCGCTTTAATATCACCATATGTCGCGATATGTGTTCTGCGCTAGTTTTTGGCATGACTGCGTATTGTATGGTAAAGCTGTTGACGTTGAAAAATCTTTTGCTGGAGAAGTTCAATTGCTCGTTGGTTCGTGTCGTGCGTGCTTTGAAATGTTGTTGCAATGATAGACGTAATGAGAAGATTTCAGTCACGTATTTTAGATAGTGTGGAAAATAAATTTAATATTAAAAGGTACGACGTAGGAGTTGTTAACGAATCTTTTGTTCACGAGTGTGTTTATGAGAATTGAAGTGAATTTGTGGAATTTCTATGGGACTTTTAAAATGGAGTCTGAAATGCAGAGCTGCTATGAGAACTCGGACGAAGAAGGCGTTTCTGATAGTTCTTGTGTGGATTTGCAGTTAAATGGTTGCTGCTAAAGTATGTGGCTGTCAGCAAAGTTTTAAGATTTTGATTGTGGTTTTTGTGTAGTAAGTTAACTTTTTTTTTTCGAAATTTTGAATATCAGAAAGACATGTGATATAGCAAAATCATGGCACTTTTGTTCAGAGACGTTGTGTGACTGGCGAAATTTTATTCAGGAATGTATTGTGGTAAGTGCATTTTATTTTACCATTTTTATTTTGTAGAATGTTATGTTCATTGTTTTTTACTATGAATTTCTGTTCTTATTGTTGTTTTTTGAATTGTTTGTAATTTAGTTTAGTTTAGTTGGTTGATTTGTGCGTAATGGCTAGATTGTGCTATTCGTAGATTTTTTTAAATTTAAACAGAATGCTGTGTACATGGTATTCTTTGAAATTTATTTGTTGTTATGTTAATTTATTGAAGCGAGGTGTACGTAGTTCATAGATTCCTTCGCTGCCTAGAATGTGCAATTTGCAGATGTTTTTTTGAAGTTAAAACGTATCGCTGTGTACATGGATACTAGTCAAATATTTTTGGTTAGAAACTTTATGTCTTTGCTATCTAAATTTTATGTTTGTGTTTTGGATTTTTAGCTTAAATTGTGTCTTCAAAACATGGTTTTTGCATATGCAAAAACTGCGTTTTTGGAGACATTTTAGCCTTATAATTCAAAATGGGGACAAAAAATTTAGGTAGTAATATGGCAGCATGGAGTTTCTCGCCAAAAATGTTTAGAATTTGGCGGCCTGAGATCTCATATAAGAGTAGTTCCTAAAAGATATTAAACTCACTTCTGATTTATCTTGAGACTTTAACCCTTGTTCCTCTTCATCAGAGCCATTTTCAGCCTATAACCAATGACATATTTTTCAACAATCATATAACTTTACTTTCAGAATTATGAAATCGTAGCAATACTATACTGCTTTAAAATTGTACAAACATACCTTGTCACATTCTTCTTCTTCATCAGGTATTTCAGGTTTACATTTACCACAGCAGAAGTTAAAGCAGCAACAGAAACAGCAACAACAGCAGTAACACCCTGTTATTATAGCACAGAATGCACAAAGTGCCTAAAAAAATAATTCAATGATAATTTGGCCTAATAACAGAGTATATTTTAAATTTTATCTAAAATATATAGAAAACGAGGTAGATCTTGTATTTTAGTCATCTTTTAGGGGGAAGGGTGAGGGGAAACTAGTAGATCTTGTATTTTAGTGGCCTCTTGTATTATTTCATTATGATATTTTCTTTGGAATACTTTTATAGTAAATTATGGAAATATCTATATTTGAAATCTGCTTATGTTTATATACATTACAAACTATTTTTTAATCATATGACCAAAATTAAAAAATATAAACCATTTTCATTAAACTTTTTATCATCAGAATACTGAATAACTCAAAATTCTTAGTGCAATAGAACTTTAAAATAAATTCAAATATAAATAAATATTAAAAAAATACATATACATAGATGCAGAGAGATTTTTACCCACAGATATTGGTTTGTATTCATATTATACAATTGAAAACATGAATGCAGACAGTCTAATTATTGGGATTCAAACCTAGGTTGAAATACCAGCAATTTGAAATTCAAAAAATTGGATAGTGAAGGGCAATATTTAAATATTGAAATATTTTAGAAAATGACTGCCTTCAGTTAAAATATAATAGCTAAAAAAACACAGCCTTTTAATAAGAAACATAAACCTTTCTCTTATATTGTCCTTACCTTACACCATTTGCTTGAAAGAACAAAATATGCATTGACGTTACTTTCTCCAAAATGCTCAGCGACATAAAGTCCAAGTGATCCATAACTGTCATAAATATTTCTTTTTGTCTCATCACTTAGAATACTGTGAGCACGGTTAATATCTTTAAACTAGAGGATGAAAGAGAGAAAAATTTATAAACCGCAAATTTACATTGATAAAAAAATGAAACTAATATTAATATTTATCACAGCTTGAACAAGAAATGCATTTAGCAAAAAATGGAATATGCAAAGGGACATACATTTGCTTACAAGTATACATGTGCATACTTGTTCATAAAAAGCAATAAGAAGAAAAAAAAATTTACAATATCAAATAGCTACGTCTTTGATTCAGAATTTATACTGTAGAACAGGGGTTACCAAAGTGAGCGCCACAAGGCACTCCTGTTTACTCTTTTATGGAATCTAAATTGAAATCGTGTGCCCTGCCTAAATCGCTCATTGCATAGGAAACCGACACCAACACTCTCCTCATGAGTATGGACTTCGGGTTCGGTTTGGCAACAGCGAATTCTTAGCTAGCCGATGCGAGAGATTTCCAGAAGCCAGCATTTGACCATCGTGTTGCATTGACAGGAGTTGTCTCGAGCACTCACTGCGAGCACCGCATCTTATATGAATCCAATGCATCACCTGTAGGGAAGCACTCAGATCGAAGTCAATGAGCTGTGAATTGAATTGGGACATATCGCAGACGTAGTAAAATACATAAAAACTAGGCCACTGAAAGCCAAACTATTCAAAAAACTTTGCATGGACATGGGAGCTGACCACTGCTATATTACTACAGTTCACGATGGCTTTCATGTGGAAATGTCTTATTCTGTGTATTCGAGCTACATCAAGAAATTCAGACTTTTCTGCCAGAAGAAGGACATGAAAGTCCAGATACTTTCCGAATCAGACATTTTACTAAAATTGGCGTATTTGTGCAATATATTTGACAAATTGAATGCCTTAAATGTATTTCTACAAGGCAATAATATACACATCTTGAAACCATTGGAGAAGATTGCAACATTAAGAAGAAAACTGCACTTGTGGATAAGAAAAGTTAATGAGGATGGCGGAAAAGATTGTTTCCACAAATTGCATAAATACACGTCCTACAACGACCTTGTTGTCTCTCAAAAATTGCTGTTTCTTTTCACGGAATACCTTTCGAAGTTCACTGAATACTTCCCAAAATACTTTGTGGAAGACAATATCGAGAAATATTCGTGATCCAAAATCTTTTCCATGCTCAAGCTCCATCAGAATTCACTTCACAACAAGAAGACAGTCTCATTGAACTCTCTTGCAACAACAGCCTTAAAACGAAATTTGCTTGTTTCGATTTGGTGGAGTTTGGGATAACCATCAATAATAAATATCCAACTCTCAAAGTTTTAAGGATTCTCATTCATTTTGCAACATCATATTTATGCAAAACCAGATTTTTAGCTGTAGCTCTAATAAAGAGCAAATATCATGCAAAGATCAACAGGGAGCAAGAAATGAATGTGGCAGTGTCAAGTCTTACCCCTCGCTTTGAAAAACTTTATGGAGATCAGCAAGCTCACCCATCCAATTGATTTTTTTCCTATTTTACTTTAACAATGATAAAATAATATTCTTGTGTATCAATTTAATATATACCTATATGAGCTTCAGATTGTGATTGTTTTCATTTATGTGCCTGATCAAGTATCAATACAGAGTCGTTTTTAATGAAGTATTGCCATTTGCTATGACACAATGTAGTACGTAGGTTGTAAAACACAAACATTGTACAACACTTTGTTAAACATGACTAGGGCGGCATGACAAAATACTAAACCGTTAAGTGCGCCGCCAACTAAAAAAGTTTGGGAACCCCTGCTGTAGGCAGTTGAAATTACTACACCATGCAGCAAATCACTTAGCAGAATTTATATTTATTTTACAAATACTTTACAAACAAAAGCATCAGTTTTGTAAAAATTACAAAATTTAGCTTTCTATATGTTTCCTCAGCCCCTATAATTACATTTAAGAAAATTTTACTATCATCATAAAAAATAAAACACAAAAAGTTTGCATCCTGTGCAAAAAAAATTGACCAAGATATTCACTTTCTAAATTCTTATATCATTTTTCCTTTGCCTAGGGGATCAGTTAAAAAAAAAAAAAAAAAAAAAAAAAAAAAAATTAAATAATCTGAGGGTGATTTTTTCCCCCTATAACGTTATACAGTTGTATTATTTTGTGATTTACACGGTTCGTACACATTTCTGCACACAGAAATTAAGTACTTTTAAGGACTTTTAAAGACCATTAATGAAAAAAATTTAAGGACCCATGAGCAAATGGGAACTGAATAAATTCAATTGAAGATATTATCTATGCCTGAATTTCACTTTCGTAATAGCATCCTAAAAATAAAATAGATCACTAAGTATTATTACTAAACATGAATTAATAAACATAATTGTTATAAGTTTGAGAATAAAATAAACTTTATGCAATTTATTAAGTAACATTAAATATTTTACACTTATAATAGTTGGTCATATTTGAAAGAAGGTAAGTGACATTTACGTTTTACTAACAGTTATCTTTATGATTTTTTTATGTCTCATTTTTGTTACATACTTGGTCAATCTAGAGGTTTAGTAAATAAGCAGGTAGATTTCATCTCAAACTGCATAGGTTAAAATGAGAAATAAGAACAAAACCAGCATGATTCATAACAAAAGACTGAATGTTGTCACTGCTGCAGCTTGTCTAGAGAGAGACCTGCTGATTAGAACAAACCTGAAAGGCCTGATGTAGGTAAGGTCGGCAAGTGTTGAAAGTTAGTCAGGCTCTGTTTGATGCAGTTAGTGCCGAAGCTTCGTAGACAGTTCTAAGGGTTGTAACACAGTTAATATACTTTAAGGTTCCAATAAGCCATTAAAGCACCAGAGGTGATAAGTTCTTTTGTATTATTTATTTTAAGTCTCAATAGATGCATAGAATATGTTTTACTTGAATTTTTACATTTTTATATTTTATCTTGCAACCACAGTGAGTATTAATAAAAGGCAATAACTCGCTTTAATATGTAGAGATAATTTTTAAGAGTAAGCAGTTAGTTATAAACAATTAAATTAGGTAGTTTGATAACCTTAGTAATTATGGATTTACATGACCACTATTAAATTTTATTTTTTAACAATATTTGTTAAAAAAGCCCTATTAAAATCAAAATCTAATAAAATTTCACAGTTTAAAATACATGTCATTTATGACTCAGATTCTTAAACAATATTCAGATAATTACACATTAAAATCTACAAACAACAACAGTCAACAAAATATTTATCTGTCATTTTAATTTGAAGCCTTCCCAGACATTTTGGCTAGTTTATATCGATTTCCTTCTCTTTTAAGCATCTTTTCTAACAATTAGAGATTTGTCTCAATATGCAAACCAATGCTCTCGCTAGTTTCTGCGTGCTTTATCTCCTAACTTGTCAACATCTCCACAATGTATCTATGAGTGTTTAACTGATCTGGTAAAAGTTAAATAGTCCAAAACCCCAGACACACGTAAAGCATATTATCGATATTCTGAAATTAACTACAATATCAAAGACTTAAATAAGAATCTTATTTAAAAAGAACTTATAACATAAAGGCATGTTCTGATGCTAACAAAATCATTTTTACAGCTCACGATGACGTAATTAAACAAGAACAGCCAAATTCAAACTAATAATGTGGACTAGTGATCAAAGATTATACAATTTAATTTTAATTTAATCTGGCTCAATAATTCTATCATATGAGGAATTAGAAATGGGAAATTATAGTAAAGGTTGAAATCATAAACAATTGGGTAATTTACATAATAATAACTGCACATATCTTTGAAGAATAATTTCCTTTACGTATTCAGTTTCTTTCTTCAACACGTTTCTTTTTCATTTTACAATTTTTGGATTTAATTAAGGATTTCTGTTATTCTAAAAAACACTAAATGCATTTAGAATGTACAGAAAAAGCGGCTAATTTTATTTCTTTAGTAATATAAACATTCAGAAGCAATATGAAATACATATAGTAAAGGCCGGTTACAGAGCTGATGTGGCAGAATTTCTAGAATTTAGTGACACACCGAACAACAAAATCTAGAAATGGCAAAACTTTTAGAATTTAGAGCAAGCATTGGAAGCAGAATTTAGAAAGGCACTAGGCAGCAGAATTTAGGATCCACAGAGATCGCATTAGGTGAGAAAATGCCTAGTGCCAGCTATGTGTATGATGCATTAAGAAATGAATCTTTTAAATTGTAAGTTTTCAATTTCTTTATTAATAAAAAAATCCCTTTCTATAATGCCTGCCCATGTGATATGATCTGAAACATTTTTGATATTTTCCATGCTTCTGTCTAGTGAAAAGTAGAGAAAATAAAGAGAAGATAAACATGTTAAGATTCTAGTATCAAAAGTAAAACATTCAAATATTATGTTTTCATTGTTCTTCCCAGATGTTCTCCAAAAATTAAGAAATTCATTGCAAACTTTCTGTAAAATATATCCATCACGTGTTGATACCATGGAGACATTTTTCATTTTTTCACATATTTCTCGAATCTTCTAGAATCGTGGGTCTATAAATCTCGCCTTCAAATCCTTCTAAACTTTCCAAGCTGCAATGTCTAAAATCCTAAAGAAAAATTATCCCTACCATTTCTGTAACAGCAAAAAGTCAGAAATATTTTGGAAAAAAAAAATAGAAGGGAAAAAGTATAAAATTAATTTTATAGAGAAAACTGATGCACATTCTGAGAATTTTAAATATTCTGAGACAATGGGAAAAACTGTTACTATGAAAAAATTAAAAACAAGACATTTTAAATTAATTACATAGCTAATTTTGCTTGCTAAAAGTTGTTTTGTAAATTATGCTTTAGAGTATTACACCTTGTTTATTTTTCAGATTTAAAATATTGTATAATAAGTTGCCAAAATGAAACTTTATAATATGACAGCGAAAAATAAAAATGTTTTAATGTTATTTTTTAAATATAATTTCAATATATTACCATTATTTTAGTGAAATTTATCAATGTTACGATGTTTTAAAAAAAATCATCGAAA